ATGAGCTGTCCCGCCAAGAACAAGTGATTATCTTCAGACTAAGGACACAACACACAAGATTGAGACAACATATGTACAGATGTTTTAAATTAGTACAATCACCAAAATGCCAGTTTGGAGAGGCGGACCAAACTGTTGAACACATCCTTCAGCACTGCAAGACACACAGGACCCTGAGACAGGAAACGTGGCCAACCCCACTGACGCTACAAGAGAAGCAATACGGGCCGCCAGATGAACTGAGCAGGACGGCCCAATTTATGACAGATACCGGACTTCAAGTGTGATGCGATCGAGAAGAAGAAGACAATAAAAACGAATTTTTATAGTCAATCCAAGTGTAAAACTGAATGATCAACAGTTGATGGGTACTACTAGTAGGGCAAGCCCACACGATCAGCTGTTTACATAAACAAGCTTGAAGTGAACTAGAAGTTACCATTGTTACTCCGTTTTACCAATCAGAATTGTTTACATTTCAGACCATTCATGCTCGAAAAGGGTCAAAATCTAAAAATAGTTGCGAATGAAGAACGTTGAAGCAAAAAGAGAATCTTTGGTTGAAGCAAAGGTGGCCATGAGGTATTGGTTCTAAAAATAATCTCACACCCACTCACTAGCAAGGTCGAAATTCCTTTATATCGTCACCCAAGCTCACAACAAACCACACACACCTTCAAAATAAATCAAAATAAAATATTTATAGTCGATTATAGTTGTTTATTTTTATCTTAAATGAAGCAGAAGACATCAAACTTTCAACAGATCCAAAAAAAAAAATGTTTTAAATGGAAAGTCATTTTTTGCCTTTTGAGCCTCGTAGCTGATACTGCGTCTTTCGACTGATATTGACCGGGGCGGACAGATATATGTGTGCAAGTGTAATCTGTAATCTAATCAAACATTGCTCAATTAGTGTACGGTTTGAGGCTTGGAATCAAGTTGTAGAGTAATGATGTGGTGGCTTTAAGGTTTAAAATTTGTGGGTGGTTGGCGGGTGCTCTGGTGTGGTTTGCTTCTTCTTTCCTATCAAACATATCGTCCTTATCTCCCCTTCTTCTTTTTATGTTTGTTACTCTCTTGTAACACCTCTAATCTTCTGGCGCTCATATATGACCTTTTATGCAGTTGCGAGCGCCGCAAAACCCTCTACTAAAACTAAAAGGTTTAAAATTTAGTTTAAAGGGAAAAATAAAGATAAAAGTATAATATTATAAAAGGGTTCCTCGTGGTTTCAGTTCTAACCTCTCAAGAATTTATAGCACTTTATTTCATGTTATTATTTCCTTCAGTCTACATGTCTTAAATTGATACAAAATATTTAACTCTTTCACTACCGGGGTTTTTCCTCACCTGGACCGGGCCCTATCTGTGACCTCTTTTCTGATTCTGCCTACCTTCGGACAAATTAAAGATTTTAAGTTTAATTTTCAATATAAGCCAGATGTACTATCTTATAATGGAAATAAAGGGGAAATAATGACCTATTTTACCATGTTGCTAAAAACGATCATTCTTTAGCCTGAGATTTCAGAATTACAAAAGTCGGACTGGTTTTGAAGCAGGAAGTGGTGGCTCACAGTCCAGCGTTGGGGGTAACACAAACTGTGAAACACGGCTTACGGTAGTGAAAGGGTCAAAGAATTTCCTGAGAAGATGAGCTGAGACAGGAAAAGGATTGGATTTTAAGTACTAGATTTGCATGAGAGACAGTTCAGTGAGTGTAAAGGTTTTTTCATATTTCTTAATCATTTTTATGCTTTGGGAAAAACTTTAAGCCAGAATTTAGCTCATAAATTGTTGGCAGCGAATGACGAAAAAATGATCGGACAGTTGCTCATGGTGTAAAAGCAATAGAGGAGTAAAACAGTACCCCCCTAAAAGGCTCTCCCAGGAGCTGAAACTGAATGTCAAGGGATGCCCCGACCAGGGTTCACTGTTCACTTTTGAAGTACATGTCATTACCATCGGGTACTTTTTAGGTTGAAAAACACAGATATGTTCCTTTGAGACTGTAAGTGTTAGGTTTGTTATTCAAATCTCCTCGCGTTTGATTTTTTTAGTAAAGGGTTTTCATTCTCAAAACTGAATGAATGATGCAAGACTCTGTGTTTTGCTTCATGAAGATTTTGGGACCATTCGCCTGATTCAGTACCTTGGTTGAGTGTAGAAAAAGCTTTTTAAGTGTCAGATTCGACTTCTCTGAGAATCCTATTCATCTCCTTTAGGTCATGAGTGTTGTGGTGGAGCCAATTACTCTACTGTCAATGTCATTCATGTACTACTGCAACCCAGATACAATATATCTGCTCTTATCCAGGCTCCTTCCAGAGTGTTTTTATTCAACCTGATCATCTCTAATTGTATGAGGTGTTAAAGTAAAGCTATTAAGTGTTGCTATCATAAATTAATTGTGTGTCCATTTTATTTTCAGCTTTCTCGAATCACTTCAGTTGCTCATAAAAAGGAACAAACGACTTCTCCATTTGTCCTTGGGATGCACAGAGATTCTTCTTCACAATTCTCAAGAACTTTTTAATCTCTTGGTCAAATACCATGCCCCCTATCTTCAGTCTCTGCATCTTGCCACTGTGAAAGAGGACACCAGCTCATACGATGTCCCTTATATCGGAATAGACAATTTTGCAGCTTTTGCGAATTTGAGAGCCCTAAGCATTGACTATGATTTCGTCACGCCAAAGTTTCTTGCAGTGCTGGCACATCGTGATCGAGGTGCCCCGCCTTTGCACTCGTTATGTCTGCACATTCACAGAGTCAATCAAAGACAACCAACAGACAGCATGTGGAAAGAAGTGTTGTCAGCAAACCTGAACATGGAGCTCACTCTGAATTTGGTTCATTCTGTCGATGGCCTTCAAGCTCTGCTAGATGTGCTGAAACCCTCCATGCCCCTGACTCACTATCGACAGTACTTTTGTGGGGATGTCAACGTGGCTTCGCTGAACATGATGAGCAGCCTATATTATTCCACTCTCAGCTCCCTCACCATTGTGGAGGCCATCAATCACCAGCCTATCAACTACACAGTGAATGACACAGAAGATCCTTTCGTAATGCTGGCATGGCGGTGTACAAGGCTTCAGTCTCTGAAGCTGATTGGTAAGCATTATAAAGGGGTTTTTTTCTCTATCAATTTTGATAATTTCTTATTATGGTGCCAGGTTGAAGGACGAGCCAACAGAATTGACCTTACATTTTACATATTATTCTATTTCTGAGATGGTGAAGAAGCCTCCATTTCTCTTCAAATTTTGAGGATGTGTATTGAATTTGTCTGTCAAAAAGTTTGTTTTAAAAGACTATTTTTGTAGCCCGCTTTAGAATATGAATTAAACCCTTAAAGATTAAATTGGAGGCTTACTTTTGTTAGCTATGTTTCTGGATTATATAATTTGCTTTTGTCTGTTGTAGTTTATGTGTTCATTTCAGTGACAAATAATAAGAATTTGTGGCTGCACTCTAATGTTTTAGGTTCTAGGCAGTGAGTGAAAAGCTGAGATGGCCTTTGGAGCCAAAATTCTGTATCCAGGGCCTGGTAACTTTTGGACATGACTTGAATTCATGATTTTTAAAGAAATCTGCAAGTTCAAGTCATTCGTGAAATGTTAAAAATGGTTGTACAAAAAAATATGCACGTGTAAAGTATCCTGTAGATACAGAACGTTTATGAATAGGGTACAGCCTACAGAGCAGTAATTTTGAGGATGAAGAATTTGCTTTTAAATTACTTAATAATCTTTTGAGGGCATGGTAGGCTATTTCATTTTATATAGTTGTTTTTTTAAATTTAGTGTTTCATTTGTCAGTGTTTTATTGTGTATTTGAAAGGAAGGTGGGGAGTGGGGTTGATTATAATGAATGATGTTGCATTCTCTTTCAGAGGGTGAACTAGACACCTTTATATGTCATTGACCACCCTCTAATGGCAGTCGATATTACTTTTCTGGGTGTAAATTTCTCTCAGTTTTGCCTAACAGCTTTTTTTTTTCGAAGTGACTATTTCTCTGAACGTTCGTGAAAATAAACTTGAACTCTATTTCTACGAACGGTTTCCTTTCTCGAGATTTTCTGGTTATTTGCGAGATTTAGGCGTCATCTTTCATTCTGCCATTCTGCGAGGAGTGGGAAGAAGCATTTTTTGCATCAAATTCAATTTCTAGAGCTAGAGATTTTTAAATGTCTGAATATTCAGATACTTCAGTTGTGGTTGGGGCAACGTTCCCGGACTATACTTGATTTGAAAATATGTTCAAAAGGTACTTCGAGAAAACAAGACTGATCGACTTTGGCCTTGGCAGTAACCTATTTTGCATTTAGTCATCCAGCAAAAAATAAAATCTTTCTTGTAAAAAAAAAATCCCTCCACGCCCGCCCCCACGCCCCGTTAACACCTTAGGCCTACACACACACTGACACACACACACACACACACACACACACACACACACACACACACACACACACACACACACACACACACACACACACACGCTCACACACACATGCACACTCACACACATACACACACACACACACAGGCCACTCCATTCACAATTATTATCAACAAATCTCAAGAACGGAAACCGTTCAGAGAAATAAAGTTCAAGTTTATTTTCCAGAACGTTCGGAGAAATAGAGCCGGACTTTTTTTTGGTGCTGTTTATCCAGGTTTACCAGCATGTCTTTGATAGGAGCTGATAGAACAAAATTTGTTAAGTTTTAATATAATATATTATATCAAATTGGGTCAGTCATGTTGAATTGAGCATGAAGTTAAGTGACTGTGGCTTTGACAAAAGTATGTTATAGCTTTTGAGTTTTGATTCTCTACAGGTATGTCTCTGGATCAGAAGGATTTGGTGGCCATTGCCCGGCTGAGATCTGGTTTGCAGCAGTTGACAGTACCATCCTGCTGTGTGTTTTGGAATGAGGAAGATGAGGACTACTATGATGAAGACGATGCACTGGTGGATCTTGAGTACAAAGTAAGTTTTATCTTTAATATTTTATGGAATCTAGTCTTTGAATTTTAAACCAATGTTATGTCGGACTGCTGTAGTGTGTGTGTGTGTGTGTATGGGGGGGTGTTAAGCATTCTGTTCCTGACTTGAATGAAATAATCAGTCGGTTTATATCTGATTGGAAAGAAATGTTTGGGTAATATAAAAGTTCTTTTCAAAGACTGAAAATTTGTTTAAAAATTTTACGGCTGGTATATTTCAAGAACTATCCTGTTAACGAAAAAAGGTGATTTTCTTTGATTTTCCTGCCCTTTGATGCATGATTTGAAAATATTTTCGTAAGCAAACGGAAGACACGTTGTTGTTTTTTTGTAAATGTATTTTCTGACATGCAGATTGTCCCTAAAACCACATTGTAGAGTGAGCCATAGGACATGTATTATTGTCTAAAATGGACAGGGTGAAAATAAGTCATGACTACAAGAGCAAAGCTTTCTAGTTCGTGAAGTGCTACTCATAGAGCCCAGTCTTATATGGCACTCAGCAGATATTTTTTCTCCATAATCACAATATTTCTTTTTATAGATAGTTTGTGGACAGCTGTTAGTGGAAAGTTTTATTTAGAAATAAAAAAGTAGATGTTAAAACATCTCAAATTTTGGCCCCCACCTTTAAAATTGTTGCATTTGTCTTATAGGTCATTTTCCTGATATGGCTTTATTTGACCAGGTTTTTGGTTTAGAGAAGTTGATCAAATAGAAGGGGAAAACCTCCAGGATTTGGGGTTTTTTCAGTTTTCCACTGTAAGGGATTACATTGTAGATAAAATATTGTTGTAAGCATTCTTGCACCCTGTGGCCTTACCTTACCACTGATCGTTGTTTTAGACTGTATGACTATGTGCTGTGCAGTTTGGGATGTCCATTCCTTACTGCGGTTATCATATTTCACAATGTTTCTCTGACTGTTTGATGACTTGTCAGATTTCAGAAAGTCTTGGCAGACCATGGCAACCTTTGTCAGAATTCCTCATCCCTCCAGCCGTCTTCTATCATGATGCTGATGCGGACAGTGCCTACATGCCAGAGCTGCTGAAGGACCAGGAGTGGCAGCGGAAATCCTAGTCTTGTGATATTCCACTCAGCCACTGTCGACAAAGACAGATGTTATACTAAACTGATCCATGCCGACAATGACAAACGGGACAGTGTGCAAATTTGTGCTGAAATCGCACATGTAAGGAAACTTGCACTTCATGTTGAATCCATCATTCCATGCATTAAATAGTTGATGGCTAAGTGTTTCATAATGATGAGAAGTTGAGTGAAAAAATTTAAGGTTTGGAAGGAAGTAAGCAGTCAATTGTATTTATGGGAGAGACAAAATTTGAAAGCCAACTGGTATGTTAGCACCATGAAGTGCATGGCAAAGTTAACTGTGACTGAAAGTGTTTGAGAGTGGGGGGAAAAAAGCATCTGTATGAGGTGTCATAAACGTCTGATGGTTACAGAGTACCAACGTGAAGTATGTTTTACATCTTGAGCAACGAGGTGTTATTTTATTTCTTATTTGGATGTTCAGACTAAAGAATGCACCCTCCTTCGACATATTTTGTTATCTCAGTCCCAGAACAAAGTACATTCTCCCCAGTGTTATCTGCTACGAGGGGACACTGGGGGTTTTCATATACCTCTCCATGAAAGACAGCAATTCCACCTAACCTCAAATGTTACACAATGTATCTTGTGGCGTATGATGATGTGCAAAGGTATATATATTATGGAGTCTAATGATAAATGTATCTCAATACTCGAAGATGCTGGTTTCCAAATTCTTCTTTTGTGAAGAGTGGGATTAATACTGAAAATGTTTTGTAAATCTGGTCTGCTCAAAAGTGAACTTGGGTTTGCTGGTCTCTCATGAACTAAATCATTTCGAAGTTGAAAGTCATTTTGAACATTTTTTTTGCTTTAATTTATATAAGCTTTCATAGCCCATTTACATATCCACCGCTGAAATTCAAGAGCTGTCAGGAAAAGTGATACAGTGTAATGTTCAAGTGATTTCCTGTTTTTCTACAAAAACACGTTTATTATACAAACTGCTGTGGAATGCTAAATAATTAGTTTCATGCTTTGAGAATCTTTTTAATCTATACCCAACAGTCATTTTTTGTGTTTATTTTGCTTTGAATACCCTAAGTGGCAGCTTGCCTTAAATTAGAAATGAGGTGAAAATTGTGGCATTTATTGCTTTTTTCAATTACAATCTTTTTGCCTTTATCTAATATTTCTACGCATTCATTCAATTATCTCTTTAAAATAATGTTTTTCGCTCAATGACAGTGAATTTTATATAGCGCTACATTTCCTGTCTTCGTTACCAGCAAAACGGATTTACTAGCAAGGCCTTGAATAATACAAAGGATCTGTGACTTTCAAGATAAATTAAGGCAAATAGTGTTCAGAGTGTTACGAAAGAACTCAATATGATCTCAGTACAACTTTTTATGAGATGTTTACCAAGTGCAGTAAATGTTAAATTACAGATTACATGAATAACTTTGTAATTCAGGTTCTTGAAAAAGAAAAACAAGTTTTTTGTTCTCACAGCCCAAATACACCACACTAATATTCTCTTTGAATGCCTGTACAAGACCAGATTACCATGAGAAATAATCATTCATGAGGTCTTTAATATTTTCTTTTGTTATGCAGATCATCTGTTTTCGTTAAGAAAATAACTACAATATTCATACCTATTTTTACTACCTGCGTGCTTGTGATATTGAAAAGTTTTCCAAGTCAGAGTACCCCTTGTTAGTGAAACAAAATCTTACTTAGTTCTGCTTTGAAGCCCTGTCTCAATCCGTCTGTGTGTCTGCCTCCTCTGTACTTCTTTCCAGCATTCTCGTGTGTACTAGTTCATGCCTTTAATCTAGGTCCATTTTGTACGTTAGGTTCTCCTCCTTGTATGTCGGTATATTTGATGAAATAGGGTTGCTTTGATTTCCCCCATTTGGTGTGGGTGGGGAGTGAGATAGGGTGGATCAATTTAACTGTTTGGGAATTTTTCTCAAAAGGGTGGATAAAGTTTCAGTTCAGTTTATATGAGGCTGCTTTTGCCCAGTTCCACTCAAATCTCTGTTACGTTTTTTTTCTCCACTGAGGGAGGTGCTGTGAGCTCTGTTGATATCATCGATCTTAACAATATGCTCAAGTGTGGTTCAGATCCTGATAGGAAATTAGAAGGCTGAGAGTGTCCTAGGACGAAGAGTATTTTATTTTTTTGTCAAAACTCTCGTGGCCCAATCTTGCTGGAAGCACAAGTTCACATCAAAGGTCAAGACCTCGTAAATGATCCACAATATCGAAACCCATGCTATTTCCTCTGCTCATTGTTACTGTCTGTATTTCACTTTTATTTTATTTTCCTGTCCTTTGCTGTTCCTCCCCTTGTTCTTCTCCGTGATGCCGCACTGACATCATATGTATGTGGCATTCTCCACCTGGAATTGATGATCTCTCAAGATGAAACTTACAGTTCTTAGGGAAGTTGGAAAATGTGATTTTTTTTTTTTTTCCTTCTTCTTTATGTTGAGTATTCCATTGTGGAAGGTGAGGTTTGATGGAGTTAGATTGTTTTGGGTTGTTTTTTTCAGGTTGTTTTATTCTGTGTGTATAAACTATCAATGCATTCTTGTAATGTTTGCCTTAGTCTCTTTTCATCCTTATAATGCTTCTGTAGATAGGTATTACTTAAACCTTCCACACAAGAAGTAAATATAGATCTCTGTAAAACACCTTTTCATGTATTAAGCAGTATCGTGATTGTTGTAGACTTTTTGATCATTTTGAACATTGGTTGATTAGATTTGTGATACCTCGTTAGATTTATATTGCTGATGGTATGCAGTGGGGGAGTTATGGATGTGATCAGTTACAAAAATAATTATGAGCTAGTACATCCAAGGTCTATCAGCAATTGCACTGACATATAAATGATATTATTCATCCCTCGATTTTCCTTATGCTTTGGACAATTTATAAATTTTATCCAATACTTTTTAATTGAATTCAGAGCATGTTTTTTAGTTTTATTAGAGGATTTTTTGTGTGGCTGTAGATGACTGCTTATTGAAATTTTTAGCACAGTAGTGCAGACATGCATTTAGTAGGCAGTACCCAAAGATGTATTTCTCTAGCAGAATCTGTGTATGACTCGTACTATTAGGAAATAAGACAAGGGGCTAAAAGTAAGCTAAGACCAAAAAAATGGATAGTTGTCTTTTGATTTTTTTTGGTCAAATGTGGGTTATTTTCATTCTTCATAAGATTTTTCATGATCGAGTAAAATATGAAATGTTCCTCGTCTTTTGCCTTATGTTCAAATGGAGTCAACTTCTGCACTGACGTGACAGTAAAACCACAGAGATTTATAGGATGAAGCACATTAAACTAAAAGTTTCCCTTCAGGGAACAGTCATTTATCAATTGAGAATGTTAATCATATTATGCTGATATCATCTTTATTATTTGCTTTTTTTTCATGCAAGTTTGTTTTTTTTTAATCTGTGAATTTGACTCAAAAATATGTGTTAAAGTTAAAGGTTGAAAAGTGCCACATTCAGATTAACATATGGCAGATGGATGTAACATTCATCCTTGTGTATAATTCAGAACTTTTCTGGATCTTCTAAAATAATCATTAGCTGCATACTTAGAGACCAACTTTTTTTAAAAAGTGAACCCATTTTTTTAGAAATTCTCCAACTGCAATATGCGCATGATTTCCTACATGCAAAGAAAATGAAAGTTTAAAGAGCATTTTTCTCCCACCGATTCATGCAGCAAAACTATGTCATGTTTCCACTAACTTCTAAACATAAAATCGGCCTTCATGATGATTTGTGAATATTCAAGTTTCCCTTTTTTTGGCGTCGAGTCATTTCTTAATATATATTTGTCTCATTTCATGTACTTGAAGTTTCTTAAACTGGACATTTAGGACTATCTGCTTTCTGCATGATGTTTATATTATATATATAGAAAATAGAAATTTTCTGATCCAAGGAACATCTCATTGATAAATCCAAGTTGAATGAATGCTTCTATATTAAGCTCAATGCTGACTCACCTATTTGGCCAAGAAAGCCTCATATATGTGTGTTTTAATTTGTTTTTCAACTGTCATGAATTTTTTGATTCACTGTACATGTATTAAGGTGTCAAAATTTGGGGGCTTTTTTTTCCCTCATAGCTTTAGGCCTTTGTAATTAGACAAGTATTCGGAATGAAACAAACCATCTTTCCCTGACTTGAGAGGAATTCAGCCAGCGTCTGCAATCTTGAGTGGAAATATCAATGTGGGATGCACAAGAAATTCTTACTGGACATAAGTCTCATCATAGTTATCCCCAAATACTGGTGACAGGAAATGATTAAGTGTCCATGCCAGTTTTTTTTTCCTGTGAATGGCTTCTGGCTGCAGTAAATACTTTTTTTGGAAGAGGGCATGGGTATTTAGATATAAATATATGTAAGTCCATGTAGAGTAGTGCTAAACCGCTAGTAAAATAAGTAGAACTTGTAAGTAAGTAAAAGTGATATTATTGTGTTCATTATTCCATACAATATTTTGTTATCATTCTCAAGCTGCCATTGTTACTTCATCTGCCCATTGCCTGTGACATTTACGGTCACCAAGAGAATTCACAGAGATATACTTGTATGACACTCCAGACTTGCTCCGATCTGTTACTTTGATGATGACAAAACCCTCCGATTCATTTCAAAGGGTTTACAGTTGAGTTAAAAAATTTTCGTTGTTATTTTATTCACCTCACTCGACCTTATTGATTGTGTACCAACACACATTTGGCAAGCTTTTTTGACTGTGATAAACAAAACATATTTCATGACTTTTTTTCACCCATGGAAGTTGTAAAGTCTGTGATTTCCTCACAAGGAACTTGAGAGAAACTGTCATTATGCATCAAAAAAACATGCGAACTTGACAGAGTTCCATCAGTTCATACCACATTCTAAATGCATGTACAGAACTAGACCAAATTGATGTGGGAACTAGCTCTGCTTCGACTTTTTATTTATGAAGAAGAACATATACATTTTATGTCCTGACTACAGAGTCATTGGAACTCTACAAAGAGGAATCAGATCTCATCCATGTAAAACATTTATTGATATTTGTATGACGAAAGGGCAAAGATTTTCCTGCGCTGGGCTAGTGATAATCTGAGAGCTATCTGTTGCTACCACAGTGCGAGTTACTTCTGTGTGTACCCAGGTCTCTGCATTTTCGTACTTGGTGCTTGGCTAGGCTGCAGGTTCATGAATTCTGCATTCTTCTTTAAAGTGGCTGGATTTGAGACAAAGGGAAAAAACTTTACTGCCAGTCAGCCTCTTTTTTTTTATTTTTGAAAACTCTCTTACATATTAAATAAAGCATTGCAACATGTGTATGATAATCAATTCTACCCATCCTATGCTAGCAATACAAGAGCTCGCATATTTCCATCAGACATCCCAAAGATAAAGTCAACGATGCGGACGTATGTTCCCGACACTGCTCTAAAACTATACAAGGAAAAGAAAAGAGTACTGTAGCAGTTACAGCTGGGCACAAAAACACCACCCCTGCTCGACTGTACTTTTTTCAAGTACCTATAGTAAGAAGATATATCGGGTATTTCTATTCTCTTGTCAGCTGTGATATCTGCATACTGTTTTGAAACTTTAAACTGTGATATGCTTGAAAATGGAAGCTTGTGATTGTAATTTCAATACTGCTGAAAATTTTCAGAACAACTTTTCCAGTCATTTTCGGAGGACTGTAGTGAGTATTGCACAACATCATAGGGCTAGAAAGATTGACCATCAGTATATTTCTCTTCTTTCAAAGATCTACATCTATAAGAGATTGTATTTGGTTCTCTTGATACAGATTTTAGGGATTAGATATAACGAGCAATGGTATGTTGCACAGCTGACCTATGGTGTTATATACATATATATATATATTTGGATCCAATTTCGAGAAATAAAGCATCGTTTGCATATGCTGCGAATAAAGAAACATGATTTGGCCTTCTGTGATATTTACTTACATGTATGTTTTTATGTGTACTGATCTGAGTTTTCCTGTGTTTTCAAACTCACCTTACAGAAAACTTACCCCATGTACTATCTTTTTGAGGATAATGAAAGGGAGAAGGGAATTCATTTTCATGTTTTCCATTTCGAATCTCTTTCCTTGAGGAATCCATCTTCATATAATATGCTTCTTTGGGGGTGTCGGTATCTCCAAGAGGTTTACATTTTGAATTTGTCTGGTTGACGTTTCTGTAGCGATGATGTTGTTTTACGGGATAGGGATGCTACCATCTTGAGCTCACCCCCAACTTGATGGACCAGGTGACCTGTGTCGGGAGCCACACTTTGGAACCTTTTTTTAATCGCCTCTCTCGACACACAGGCAGAACATCAACCTTATTCTTCTCACCATCGAGATCTGGATGGCTAAACTATTGCAATTACCATACAATACATTAATTTTTTAAAATCACACTGCCAATAATTAATATGCGTTACTATAACTAAATATCTTGCCGTTAACCAATTGGAACGAACGAAAATATGTGGAACGAAAAGGTCACTTGGTGCCTTTCCTGCGGTGTGACATCTGAGAACCGTTGAGAACGTTTTAAGTCATTTGGTCGCTGTTTTCTTTTAACTGTAAGGCTCATAGAGAATAGTGAACCATTTTATGGTACCGTACAGGACGTTTAGTTCTGACTGGTCGACTTGCATAAAGAGGATCCATGTTTTCTTGAACAAGTGTCCAAGAAAGTTACTGAGGATCAGATGGACAGACAGGGTCACCATCAAGGAAGTGTTAGGGAAAACAAGACAGATCCCAGTCAGCAGAGATGAGGTAGGAAAAAGGTGGTGGCGAAGGACTGAACATATTTTCAGAAAGTCAGGGAGCTGCATAACAAAGAAAGTGTTGGATTGGAATCCACAGGGTAAAAGATCAAGAGGAAGATCGCGTGGAACCTGGAGAAGTATCACAGAAATTGATGTACAGAAAAGTGGGAAGATATGGAATAACACCAAGAGGCTAGCCCAGGATAGAAAAAGGTGGAAAGTGTTTATGCGTGGCCTATATCCTGATGCAGGATGAGAAAGGCAATGATGATGATGATGATGATGATGATGATGATCGGAGCTGACACTGTTCCATTTGTCCTGACGGTGCCGGTGGCGGGTTTTGTTTTGTTCTGTTTTGTTCTGTTTCAGTTTAAAATGTTTTGGGCTTCTTCGGTAAAAGCAAAATATCCTGTACTAGTACAATACACACATACAGGATCTTTGATAAATGTTAATTTGCATATATTACTTTTTTCTGTATTTGTCTATACTTATCATGTTCTGAGACGTTTGTTCGTGTGGCAAATCAAGTCAGCTGGAAATGCCAGTTGCGGTGAGCTCACTTCATGTATTTAAAAGGGACATTGGAGTGCTTGGGTTACGGTATCCAGTCTTTGATTCAAGTGAAATCAAGAAAAATAAATTGTTACTCAATTCGTACATAGGCCTACACATACATACACAAACACACGCTATCACACACACGGATGAAAGATTACTCACAATTGTGCCACCCCACCCCCAACCCCTCCCCTCTCTCTCTCTCTTTCCCTC